CTATAATTGGGGTCGCACTTGAATTTGTCCCAAAAGACGATATTCCTGCGCTGCAAAAAGATCCAGAGCAACAGAATATATGTTTTGAAAATACTATTTTTATAGGTGCCCCTTTTTTTTGATCAACAATTAGATTAATGACTAATTTAATTGCATGATTTCTGTTCGTAACTAACTCAGAGCTGCACCCAGAATGACAACACCGCTAATTAAAATGAATCCAAACTCGCTCACAAAATCATAAAATCTGTTTGCATGTGTGTTTTTTCAAAAACATACATGTAAAGATGACCATTTTTTCCCACTTTGCTGCAGAAATGTTCTGCTTAAATTGAAAATACAAAAAAATAGGACAAAAGTGCTTTCAGTATTAAAGGAGCAGTCACTCACAACTTTATTTTGTGAGGCGAGAACAGCACAAAACAGCCTCGTCTAAAAGGAAAGCTCTCTCCATTTTGGCCTCCGCTGTGTCCGGCCTTGCAGAGCATTTGTTTGATAAAAAGTGAGTGCAGAGTGAACACAGTGCCACATCATGAAATAACGGTGGTTAAATCCAAGAGTAAATTTTGTAAGAAGGCAGAGTAGGGCAGGTTCATGCTTCTTGTACCAGCTAACATATTCTTCAGAGCAGCTATTGTAAGTAGTTGGAATGAATCTCTAACCTACGTTGTGGGTAGAGAAGCAAAATTTAAAATATTTGGAAATATAACCACAGCTTAAAAGAAGAAAACTATGATTAAAATGAGTGAAAGTACTTTTTAAATCATATTTGGCTTCAGTTAAAGGCCCAAGGCAATTTATGACATTGTGTTTATCACAGTAAATCTCCTTGTGCTGAAATAGGCTTACTATATTCATTCCTTTGTGGCAGTTGGCTGGGAGCGACTCCAAAGCTTTTAAAGTCACAGAGTCCTCTTGAAATGACGCAGCTCCATTTACCAAGTCTCTTCTCTGGATTCAACACTTTTTAATAAGACTCTTTCATCCTCTCTTAAGCTTCAGTTCTCCTTTTAAGAAGGGCACTTCACCTTCCTTGTGCTCCACTTTGCTTTGGCTTCTAGTCTCAGAGACTGGGTGGGGGGTGTATTTGATTCTTATGTTTTTTTTTCTCCATCCACATCATATCTGGTGGTCTATATGTAATAGAGTCTTGCTCATTTAAGTGGTTTTGAACAAATAATACAGAAGGGGGGTACTGTGAAGCAGGTTCAACAAAGCCAGATTTTCTTGGTTATCCAGAAACCTAATCAGGGTCAACCCAGACTTCCTGCTTCAGGCTCTGTGTTTGATTACATGTGCATTTGCAAGGGAAAAAAAATATACATAAAAAACTAAAAGCGTCTGACTGAACTTGGATCTTGACTTGGCAATTACACCTAAAAGCTAATCGCGTTTTTGCTTTTCTTTGGTACTTTTGGGTCAATATCTTGTTGCACCACTCAGGCTGTCCTTAACAGGTCTTGGACTCCTGCTCTGATATTGTTTCTTAAAATTATGAATTTATTGTTGTCTTACTGATTTTCCAACATGGTCCCAAATCATAATGCTACCTCCGCCATGCTTCAGTTTGGCTCAGTTCCTGGCATTGGTGTGCCATGCCTTTTTCTCCAAATGAGTGTTGTTTATACAGAACATTGTGGTGTTGCGGAACATCCAGGTGGTGCTTCACAAACTTGACATCTGATTTAAGTAATGGATTAATTTTTTAAGGAGTCATTTCTTCTGTTTCCTTCTGTGTCCTGGGTAGAATTCTTTTTCAGTGTGATTTTTACCAAGTTATAGAAATGTCTGCAGGTGCAGGTTTTGTTGTTACTTTATTTCATCTTCACCTTTTCAAGGATTGTATATTGTGTACATCATGCCTTCTCCTAAAGATTGCAGCTGTCCTGTATTTACTTCAATTATAGACAATGTATAGTTTTTAGAAATGCTTTTTGGGTCTTTTCCAGCTTCATACATCTTTCAATTGCTTCTTGTAAGGTCCTGTGAAGGTTTTTGTGATCGAGACATGGTTCACACCAATCAGTTTTTAATGAGCGGAGCTGTAACCGGGATTTGTGTGTCTTTATTTATAGGCAGGGCACATCTACAGCCCACTCTACTCGTCTCCTAATTGGAACTGACACCAAGTTGCTTTTTGAAAAGTATCGTTTGAATCCATACTGTTTCACGGGTACTTGGGAACCATTGTTTATCTGTTTAAAGTCTGAGAGGGCTTTTCCTCTAATTTATTAGAGAAGAATCTTGTTGCTGTTTCTTGTTTTATTGTTGTCCTAAACTCCTGATTAAGGATAAAAGCTCCGTGAAGCTGCTATGGTTTAAGGCCACGTCCTTGGCCAGGGTTTATAGAAGAATGAAATATTCAGCATCCAGCATAGCTCTGTGACCTGCTGCAGCGCTACAGAAGAATTCATAAAGACCAGCTGTAAACTCGACCTGCTCTCGCCTTCTTGTTCATGTAGCCCCCCTTCGCCCATTGTACTCTTGAATGTTCTTTTTAGGCTCTATTTTCTTCCCACTAACTGTCTGTGTTGTTGAACCCTCCCTCCTTAATCTGTTGCACTATGAATCAGTCATTGTTCTGTGGAGCTCTTTGGATGATTCATTGACCATATTTGGCAAAGCTTGTCAGTAAGCTGCATTTGATAGCAGCTGGTTTGCTTTCTCGCTCTCTCTGGTCAAAATACAGGATTCATCAAGTCATTGCAATATCAGTAAACACCTTATTGTTTTTCATTTTAAAGTCTTCCAAATGAATGTCCTATAGAGCCACTCACCCACTGACACAAAAGAGATTTTTCACTCCCTCACGGTGATGCAAAGAGCCTTGAAAGCCTTGGCATTATAATAACAATTATATTTGCTCTTATCACATTTTTTACGGTTCCTTTTCCACTGAGCCTGCACTGGGAGTTTAATAACTGTAGCTTTTGTTCTGTTCTGCCAGGCAATAATTTACTTATCTGTGGCCTAAGCTGCTTCAGGTACACATCATCCATCTTGGCACTTTAATGGCTTTAAAAGTATGCACATCATTTCCTGATGATAACAGAATAAAACCTGTAACTCTGACGTTTTTCTTCTATTACTTCTACTTACGAACTTAAAACATACATTAATTCTCTGTTTATGTTTGATTTTTTTTTTTTTTTTAACAGATATTTGTTGCAAGAGCTCATCTTAGTTTTTAGGGAGTTTTTGTGGACCTAAAGGTCACAGATGTCAGCAACAGCCAATTACCGCCCATCAACAGATGATGCATGCATTTTAAAAAGATGTTAAAAGTCTTTTTGGTCACAGTGAATCCGCCTAAATGTCAAATGAAGTCCAGATAAAAAGTGAAACACAGACCCTGATAAACAATTTATTGTGTCACAATGCTTTTTGGAAAATACGTCCACAATGACAGCGGCTGTTGTCTGAAAAGTGAAATGTCAGGGTGTTTGTCTCTTGCCATTGTCAAAAATATGATGAATATGTTTCCTTCTTTGCTTTCCACTCAGGGACCTTGATTAGAGTCAGCCCAGACAATCCAAGACAGAAATTTCAATCTGAGTGACCTAGAAGAGTACAGATCGAACCTTTGAGTCACATTTGAAAGAGGTAGTATTTACCATAAAGCAATGTGCTTTTAAAAGTCTGTCTACTTCAATATCAGTCTTGAAAGATAGCAAAACACTGTCAGTGTCTGTTGCTTGCCTAATGTTTTGTCTGAGCTCTTCTACAAGTCTTGTGAATTTTATATTTATTATAATTGAAGAAGTTCATCCTCTGGTCAGTTTTTGATAGATTAATCTGTCATTACTAATCCGTCACAACCATTGTAGCAGAATTTACATTTGCCATAATTACCACAACTTGCTATCATTCTGTCTGTGAAAGTTTATTGGTCCAAGGGCACCTTCTCTGAGTGATGCTCAAATAATTTTTATTTATATCCGTAAAAATGATAATATGTGCTATGTGTATAGTGTGATGTACTTGAGCTACCTGTCGCAAACCACTCTGACTGACCTGGACGTTTTACTTTCTTATCCAGAAGCATTCTTTTTCTCTATAATGGGTAATGCTGAACTGATTCCACTTTACAGGCTGTAGCTGGCCAGTCTGTCTGACCAGTTAACATCCTGTCTTATCCAGGTAATCGTTAAATACAAAAACACAAAAGATAAACAAGGGTTGTTCCAAAGTTTTCCACACCAGCCAAAGCTGAACAGTTGTTTGAGCTGACGTGTTACTCTAAAGCGTGATCGAGAACAGCTATGCTATTGTCCCAGCTATGGATCTGAGTGCAGCAGTTGCTTTCAACGTTGTCTTTTGTCAAGTGATGTGTTTTTGTATGGATTTCCAGTGTGTTCTCATCCCAGGGCATCTAATAGTGCAGATTTGTCAAATGTGGTAAGAGCCTCTGTTTAGCTCTTCGGCTTATGAGGGAGGCACAGTTTGTGCCCTGTTTGTGGCTTTGTGTCTGATTTACTGTTAAGGTTGCCAAAACAGCTTTTTTTTATATCATGGAAGTGAAGCCAAAAGGACACCTTGAGCAGTTTCCTTTGGACTTGGATTGAGCTGGGCCTCTATTTGCATACAAATCTGCCACATTTGTTCAGTTTGTTCAGAAATCTAACCTGGTGACCCACTGTTTCTCGTGCATGTGCATGAAATTCTTTAGGATGTGGAGACATTGAAGACTTTTGAAGAAACTGTCTCTCTCATCAGTGTTATAGTTTGAGGTTTTATTTTTGGTAATTATGCATGCCTGCTTGTATGCGTGAGTCTGTGAGGCTCTGGGAAATAGAGAGCACGCAGCTGATTAGAGAGAATTATCGGGGGAATTGGCCTCACAAAAAGCTGGCAGAAGACGAGAGACACACACACACACACACACACACACTTTAAGACAAAAACTTCATGCAAACTCAAGCTGCGTTGAATGCAGATGCTATTATTCTTTGTCTCACTGTCTTTTCTTTGTACCGGTCTCTTTTTCTGTGTTGTTGCAGATGTGACTCAGAGAACCGTTACCTTGGTAACCCCCTTCGAGGAACCTGTTATTGTAAGTATCCCGCCACCGATACACCTGAGTCTCCCTCGCCTGCGCACATCCATTCTTACCTTGGTTAATATGTCAGTCTGTGTGCATGTTTCGTTTCATTTTGTGTCTCCAAAAAGAAAGGAAAGCGTCCAGGAAGCGGACACAAACCCTGTTAGTTTTCATTATTTTACGTGACCACAGAGTAATAATCTTAAGTAATTACTTAATTTAATAAAGTAAAAGAAACTTGCTTTATTTGAACTTTGTTGAAACTTACTGCAATGGACATACACTTCAGTTGGCCAAATGTGGAAATTAGTGATTAGCTTTATTAATCACACATACTGTAGCTATGCCAAAGGGTGACTTTCAGTACAGCTTAGAAGTGTCATTAAGTACATTTCATAGCATTTTGGTGAAAAATTGATTGTAACTTGAATACAAATTTGCATTGTTGTTTACCGGTTGTATCTAGAATGTTAACTGATTTAATCTCTATGAGCAAACAGAGCTGTAGTAACTACAGAGGGATGCAGTTGATGAACCACAGCCACAGGCTGGGTTTACATCACGATCTGCCCTGAGAATCTTCTTGTTTGCAGTGACTGATAGACTGATAATACTTTATTCATCCCGAGCGAAATTGGGTTAAGGCTGCCAGCCGTGCCAGCGCCATCTTACCATGCATACATTACACAAACATCACATGGGGAAGACAGGTCAGAGAGGTATAACAATGGAAAATGCACAACATGAGGAAAGATGAGGAGAAAAAAGATTGGTAGATGTCGTTCAATGTCCTCCATCGAGAGTGTCGGCAGACACACAACGCAACTGACCAATGCGTGTCCGGCAGCAAACGTCTCCGCAGGACAATCGGGCTCTCCCAAGCCCAGGAAGGTGTCAATTCCGTTCCGGGACCAGTTGATCAAATCCATAATTCTTTAGGTTTTCGAGAACAAGACTGAGAAACTCTTTGAGAGTTAGAGAATAAGCGAGACTATGCAAAAGACATGAGAAACCAAGCAGGAAAGATAAGGGAGAGGGAGAAGGAGAAAAGTGCGAAGAGCCAAGAGAGCAAAAAATAAATAAATAAATAAATAAAAAATGATGGAAATGATGATGGACAGGTTGACAGAAAGGCCTGGAAGGGCTCTCGTGGACTATGATTCAGATGATGTTGTGAGCTGTAGTGAGAGCTGGGAGCATGTGAAAGTGAGCCTGGAACGATGGAGGTATGAACTGGAGAGAATAGAAGCAAGAGAGAATACATGTGGAAATGAGAGGAGGACAGGTCTAACAGGCTGCGAGGACTAGTAAAAGTAGATGAATTTAAATATGTGGTTCCAACTATTCAAAGAGAGTGCAGACAGGGTGGAATGGGTGGAGACAAGTATCAGGGGTGATTTGTGACAGAAGCACAGCAGCAAGAGTGAAGGGCAAGGTTTATAGGATGATAGTGAGACCTGCTATAAACAGGTTGCCTCTAAACTCCACTATGACCTCTAAACGGAGCAGAGCAGTCAAAAGAAGATGAATCTCTTCAAGAAAACATGACCCTATTTAGGTAAAATGCAAATGAAGCTTTGGTTATGTCCCTTAAAATTGAATTTTCAAATGAAATTTCTGGCCCTGACAGAGAATCACACTTCCTTCCTTCCTAGCATGTCATGTAGCAGGTTTACCACAACTATACATTCATTTGAGAGTCTAGTGGGGTGATTGATTTTCAAAGAGTAGTTAAATATTTTCCAGCGAATATCTGTCTATCCAGTACTTTTGGCTCAAAATGGACATTCTTAGTTGGTAGTAAACCTTTTGGTAGATGTTAGTATTGAAATAACTGCATCACTGTGTTGTTTTGCCCTCTCGTGAGCAAAAACATGGTATGAACCTGAAGGTTTTCTCATAAAATAAGAGTCAGATCCAATTTTAACACCAATATTTGCCTCACTTTTGATTGTGAGAGAGGGTCCAGTTATTGTTATTTATTTGCTTGACCACAAAAGCATCATATCTACTGCATGTCTGAGGCAAATGTAGAAATATTCCATAACCATCTCTCAGTAGTTGGACTCATATATTGAAGTTTTGAAAAAGAAACCGCGAACACCATCTTTGTGTAACAGTTGGTTGCAAATATTTTCCTACTTTTGAAATGGATAAAGAAACAAAGTTTTGTTCCGCTCCACAACTTTGTTTTCCTGCTTCCAGATGCTAGCAAGGATCACATTGACTTATCTCATTTGCAACAAATTGCTGGTTTTCCTTTCAAAGGGCAAACGAAGGAGGAATGCTGCAGACAAAACAGATGTTTTGTGGCACACAACCATTCTCACTCAGTCTGCATCTTCTCTGTCTCTCTCGCAGCCACTTGTGCATAAATACATACACACGTTCAGTCTATGAATTGCCATCATCGCTTCTTATATTATAACACACTACAATCAAGTTCAAGTCCTGTCAATGTCAATAACCCTCTAGTTTGAGTGAGGCTATCATTGTTTCAATGAGGGAGGCTTGAAAGGATACAGCAATCAGAAGAGTCATGCCATCAATTGCACTGGTAACATCAGAAATGCCTTTGATCGCAAAACAAGGTCTGTTGAAGAAAGGATAGCGGCATACTCTCACCTTTGCTGCTGGAAAACTTTTATCGTGATATGCTTTGACTGAGCGGTTTGCACCATTGTGCCCTTCAAGGAAAGGCAACAGTCAGTTAAAGGAACAAACCAGCTAAGATTTTGGAAATTAATTATTTATTGTTAAACAGTTTCATCACACTGCAGTTATTTTTGCCTGGAAAGAGGGCAGTTTGCTTTGAAGGTACATTCAGTAGCTTTTTTGAGGATTTTAAATAGGAAAAAATAAGTTATCGTCTTGTACATATACTCTATACTGGCAAAATTATTCACTTATCAATTAAAACTATTAAAATCAGGTGTTTTGATCACTTCCATAGCCACAGGTGTAAAGAGTTAAGCACCCAGGCATGCAGACCGCTTCTACAAACATGATTGAATTACATGCTCTGTGAATTCCAACGTGGTATTCACTACTAAATATAACACAATCAGCTGTTAGCAGTATTATAACAAAGTGGAAGCGATTGAGAACAAAAGCACATCAGCCACAAAGTGGTAGGTCAGTTAAAATCACAGAGTGGGGTCGGCGGATGCTGAGGTGCATAGTGTGCAGAGGGCACCAACTTTCTGCAGAGTTAATCAGTACAGACTGCAAACTTCATGTGGCCTTCAGATTAGCTCAACATCACTGTGAAGAGAGCTTCATGGAATTGCTTCCAGTGGCTGAGCAGCTGCATCTGATGCTTTACATCACCAAGCACAATGCAAAGCATCAGATGCAGTGCTGTAATGCATGCTGCCACTGGAGACGAGCAGTGGAGACGTGTTCTCGGGAGTTAGAATCATTTGGCGATTGATGAGCCTTTTGATTGATGAGCCAATTGAGGTTCTGTACTTGTCAGGAGAACAGGACTTGTCTAACTACACTGTGCCAAATGTAAAGTTAGATAGAGGGTGTTGTGTGAGTTTGTTTCTTCAAGAGTTAGGCTCAGCTTCTTAGTTCCAGTGAAACGGACACTTAATGGTTGAGCATACCAAGACCTCTGGGACAATTTTAGGCAGATGAGCAAACACTTTTGGCTATGTAGTATAAATTGAGTAGTGTGTGATAACATCTTCCAACAAAATGATGCATTCTCATGAACTTCAGAATTAATCTGTGATTTAAATTCCTTCCACTAAATTGCTTTTTATTTATGTGGCTAGAGACTGGTCAGATACTTAGCACCTTCAAACTCAAGATATGAAGGATCATACCTATGTTTATGATTTAAGAAGGGGTCCCCTTTATCCAAGGAAGTAATGATGTGAAAGAAAGAGATAATGAGACCAGGTTAAAAAAAAAAAATCTTCCTCCTCAGTTCAATCCTCATCTCCTGAACTGAAGTAGAGCTCTACAGGGAGTGCAGAATTATTAGGCAAGTTGTATTTTTGAGGAATAATTTTATTATTGAACAACAACCATGTTCTCAATGAACCTAAAAAACGCATTAATATCAAAGCTGAATGTTCTTGGAAGTAGTTTTTAGTTTGTTTTTAGTTTTAGCTATTTTAGGGGGATATCTGTGTGTGCA